AGAAAGTGTAATGAACTGGACTCCCCAGACAACAGGCGATTTACTGTGGCATTTCCTGAGGAAGCTCATGGCTCTGAATGGGATGGCGAGAAGCACAAAGCTTGAGCACTGGGCACCTGATGATCAAACACTCATTATGGACAAAGAGGAGCTGGGTATTCATGCAGATTTTTTTTTTCTCAGTGACACAGACACCAGTGATTCTCTGCACCCCCTCGATGTTCTCTGTGCTGTTCTGCTTTGCTCAGACAGTTTTCTGCAGCAGGAGATCCTGTCCAAAATGTCCATGTGCCAGTTTGCCCTCCCTCTGCTGCTCCCTGCCCTTGACACCCCCAAGTGCACCCTAATGCTGTGGACCATGAGGGACATTGTGAGGAAGTGGAGGCCGCACTCCCTGGCAGACAGCAGAGGGTTCTGGGAGGAGAGCCTGGTGTTCACAGCAATGCCAACCATTTCCTTTGTGCGGATGGGGAACTGCAGCTTCTCCAAGTCCAAACTCCTCAATGAGGTTCTCAGCCTCTCCCAGCAGCACCACGATTTCTTCATCCATCGGGACATGGAGTCTGGGAACGTCCCTCGGGAAATCGCAGATGGGCTGGTTGAGATTTCCTGGTATTTCCCTGCTGGGATGGGAAATTCAGATCTTTTCCCAGAGCCCGTTGCGGTTACAAACCTGCGCGGAGACATTGAGTCCCACTGGCTACAGTTCAGCTTTTTAACAGAGATCTCCTCAGCAGTGTTCATATTAACAGAGAGCATCAGTGAGAGAGAATACGCGCTGTTATCATCTCTGCAGGGATCAGCCACTAAATACTACTTCATCTTTAATAATCCGGCTGCGACATCCAAGGAAACACTGGCATTCCTGAACAAGTTGGCCCCAGTGCTTAAACTGAACAACTCACATGTGCTGCAGAAAAGACGTGCCACAAATCAGGCAGCATATGTAAAAGCTCTGCAGTCTGCAATGGCAACTATAATGAAGTCTTCTCCCAAGAGAGTGAGTATCGAAGCCATGGCTGAGACTGCACGTCAGTTAGGCATCCAGGTAGATGAGGATAATAAGAAATGTCAGAGTGCCCATAAATATGCCAAGGAAATCACCGTAAACATAAAAGATGTGGCAAAGTACAAGAGGGAAAAGCTGAGACTCCAGGGGGAGACCTGGAAAAACTTGGCTGAAGTGGAAAAGGAGCTGTGCCGAATGAGAAATCAAGGGGACATCCCTCTGGAGAAATATAAGTCTCAACTGAAAAAGAAATTAATGGATTTACGTGTTCAGCAGAATAAACATGACCTGACTGATGCTTTGATTACATTTATTACTGGACTAGGCCGACTGCCTCCCGAGGAGAAACATTACTTCCTGAAATGGATGAAGTTTGACCTGGATCACATTGCTCGGGAGAATCTTTCTAAACTACGGGATCAATATAAAGAGAAATGCAAAAACTCAAAAGATGACCCCCAAAAGTTGGCAGAACTAGACAAATTAATCTCTGCCAGTTCCTTAGGGGTGGAGCATTTCCTGCGTGAGTTGGGACAGTTGTATGAGGCTGAACACGCAATGGTGAAAGAAGGTAAACTGGCAGAAAGCCAAAGACAATTCGTCCATCTCCCAGGCATAGCAGCTGACCTGATGCTGGAAGGGTTGCCCATGGAGCTGCTTGATGGGGATCACTCCAACATCCCACTGCAGTGGG